TTTAATTTTGTAAATGTGTAGAAACATTAGGTTATTTCGAAGCAGCAGACATGAAAAATGTGCAGTACCCTCGCCGGGACTCGAACCACGAACCTCTGGAATACGCGCTGAGTGCGCTGGCTATTACACCGCGAAGGCATGTTAAGAAGGCTGGAGAAATGTCTTATAAATGAAGGATTATTATTATAACTTAAAATTCTTTTATTCAAAATAATAATCTCATTTAATTCAATAAATGAATATTTCTTACAAGAACTGCGCAAAATATACTTTAAATGCATGAAGACAGATGAGTATGTCAGAATAAGAGACAGAACCAAAGCAGCTTCATAATATGCAATTATTACTATCCGCTTTCAGGAGTAAAATTTACAGCTATATTATTTAAAAAAAACGTGGATACTTTGTTATGGGAATATGCATTTGCATTTCATTAAATATAACACAGTATAAAATGAAATATCCGGAAGGGAAATTGGTTTTATCATTGAAACTCAAAAGAAAACACTAATTGTAAATTTTGATTCTTTTTCTCTAATTTACGCTTCTTCAAATATTCCTCAGAAAGTCAGAATTTTTCACTGTAAACTTTGACTGATAGATAGGTCGCAAGTGATGTGTGTATTTTACAAAGTCATCTTCAAAAGAGAATCAATGCTTTTTAAGACAAGGATTTTTCATTTAAATATGAAATTCATATTTCACTTCATTTAAGTATGAATTCAAGTCACAAAATAAAATGGTACAGGAAACATTTTACGTTTTCTCCAGAGACAAACTAATGAATTTTTCATTTATCGAAAGATGTAAGTAATAAGAACATTTGAATTATAGAAACACTCTAAGAAAGAAAGTAAATTTCCATATATTTAATTTCTTACATTTAATTAAGACCTTAGTTCAGCACCGGAGCAAAAAATGCAACTCCAAGCGATCTTTCGGAAAATACGTTTCATTTTAATTAACAGACAAGTACAATTTTTCTTTTGTTTGAGGAAGTGTCCGTCTTAGCATGTTCATTTAGTTCATTTTGTCCAATTTTTTAATACAATTAATTCTGCAATGTTAAAGCTTGCTTTTTGTTCAGATTTGCATATGGATAGAAATACTGGATCCACAATACTTTTATTAAGAGGAGCTTTACAATCACATTTAAATATTTTTTCCCTCAATGATGAATTTCTCGCTCATATGTTTATGAATTTGAAAATAACGCTTTAGATAAAATCCTAGATAATAAATATTTTCTTCAACATTCTATTCGCTATAATTTAGGCTTAGATTATTTATTTGAAGCACGTGTTTTATTTTTATGATTTGGCATACGTATTAAATAAATATCTTAATTAACTGATATTTTTATTTTCCTCATTTTTAAATTTTCTGAAAGTTTGAAACTAAACGAAAGGTCACCTTAAGCTGAAGTTGGCTTGATAAAAATCATCTATTCATTTCACAGTTCAAGAGAATTTGATACAGGTTTAATGACTTAGAATTAGGTAAAAAATATAAGCATTCGTGCACGTATGTATAAAGAAGAAAGCAACACTTGTAACACTTTGAACAAATTATACATATTAAACGAAAAAAATGAGCCTAGAATAGAATAAAATAGAATAAAAATCCTCAACTACAGATGTTATGTTTAACGCAGGGGTATTATTTGTCAAAGTTGTATAATTTTAAGCCCTGAAAATTTTCAAAGTGAAATTTGAAAACATTTTCCGGAAATGTATATAATGATAGTGTTCACAGTTTTTGAAACCACGTTAGAATCAACCTGTTCTAGAGTAGGGTAGTATACTGAAATATATGTGCATTCTTTTTGAAACCAAAGAGCTCTAAAAATTTAACGAATGTCAAAGTAATTTTATAACACTCTCTTATACACCAGTTTTTGGAATTATGGGCATATCATAATATACTCAAATAACTATACAACAGTTACTATTAATTGTATTTAGTGAGAAGTTGGTAGAGATACTAAGCAATGCATAAGGAATAAAATAAAATTATAATCTTTGATTTCTTTATTTTTTCCATACATCTGTAGTTGATACATCTGTAGTTAATAATATTTATCTTCGGAAATCTTATTATCAGCATCATTTATGCTATTGTCCACCATTACTTTTATGATTATCACAGAAGCTACTTGTATTCTGTTCGCTTTAGATTTAACACGTGCGTTAGAAAAATACTATTTCTTCATTTAAGTGAGTGTTGCAGATATATTGCAGGAAATTTATAAATAAAATGCATCAAGCTGAACTGCAGTTTATAATTATAAATGCATTAAGTATTATTTTTTACTTAAAGCAGGTGAAACTGATGGTTGGTAAGAACAGGCTGTTTAGATGGATAAATTAGCACAGATTATTTCAGTACTGCTTTTGCGATTTTGCGTTGGTTCACTATAAACGTCCGTTTCACTTTTCAAACTGTTCCCACCAAATGTTAGAAGCCTGCATTATATTTGAAGAAAATAAATAATGAAAAATCTGCATAAATGTAGTATGTATATTACTCGCATTGTGATGAAACAACGGTACATACAGCCATCGAATTTTGAATGACGTAATCCTACGACTAATATGGCCATGTGGAAGCCCAAATTTGAAATTTGGAATTTATTTTATTATAGATTTCATATTTTGTAAATCTTTAACGAATTTTTTATTTACAAACTCAAGGATTTCAAAGCGAGAATGGCAACGTTGTACAGAAGAAAAAAAAACATTTTTATGTGCAGCGCGTGAGACTTTGTAGCGGAAATTCTAAAGATATGCTCAAATTAAAACTATTTTGCGATATTGCTCTTGAACTAAATTTTATGGTTTAAGTGCGAAAAACTGATATTTATCAAATAAAGGTAACAGACAAAATGTTTAAAAAAACGCCCCTTTGGACGTTATTTAAAATCTGAAACCTTTCAGATTTGTTTTTTTATTAGAAATTAAATTTATTTACCGGAAAAATGGTTATGAAACCAAACCCTTTATTATTTATTTTCATAAGACTGTAATCGAGTTCAATCTGTTGCAAGTGATAATTCTGCTGCTTCAAATGTATGTTTTTGTTTTGGAAGAAGTTACCATTTATACACATATAGCGGGAGTAACGGGCTATGCGTAGAATATTTATAGCATGCAAAGGGAGAATAAAGAGTTTCCTATCCTTTTTATATATCAGTTATTATTTCATGTGCAGTTCTTTTTTAAACATACGATGTTTTGAATTCGGTGCATCATCGGTAGTTATGTAAGTCATGCATTTATAAATTTTTTATAACATTAGATATTCTTACACTATACATGGAAGAATATAATCTTTTGTAGAAGATGATTTTTATTTATATATCATCTTACTTGATCCGATTTTTTTCTTAATGAGATTAAAATTTTCATATAAACATGGAAGTTATTCCTTTTTAAATTAGTACCATGAAAATTTCTTTCATCTTAAATGAATTGAATGTAAATTAATGTTTATTTTTAGCCGCAGAGGTGTTATTAGACTCGAAACTCATTATTTATCTTTATCACTTTTGTGTCTGAATCACTTTTCAAATTTCTGCTACCAAAATGTTATCGCGATGTGTTATTAAAAAATTTGATGTAGACAGACACATGACTTCCTCCTATGACCTATTAAATTAATTTTTTACTGCATTTCATTTAAACTTATTTCTTCGAATTTCATTAGAGATATATTCCTCATTTAATTAATTCAGTTTTCATTTCGCGGCAAGACAAAAATACATAAAATTTTAAACATCTTCATTAAAAATTGAAAAATATAGAAAATCATAATAAAATGAGAGGTTCTGCGCAAAAACAAGCAATTCGGCTAGCGGGCAAGAAAGCAGATTTTTCGGTGCACAAAACTGAAAGTTTATTTTTGGTTCCATTCGGCAAAAAGACACTGAAGGTGCAGTAATTGACTTTATTCACTATTCTGCTAAGTTTAATATGTAAACAAACATGTCTGCTCTATTCGGCTTAGTCGCACTTAAACAACTATTAAATTGTTAATAATTCTAACACTATTGCATGCCGATTAACTAAAGGCATAAACACCTTAACCGGAACATAACAACAACATAACTCAATTACTTTTAAAGTAAAAAAATGCACAATTCACCAACATACAAGAAAAAAAATAAAAAGCTGAGCGCACGGAGCCGAGCAACAGAGAGGGTGTGTAAAAAGAGAGGTGCACAACTACATATTATAGCAGTCCTACATACAAAACTTCAATGTTCTGAGGATACTCGTTTTTGAGTTATGGCAGATCGACGTATATATTAGTTTCCTGAATTGAAAATGCCCAAAGAATTTTCGTAACTAAAAATATTTATTTCCAGTTTAATATCCGTACAAAAATAAATGCTTATTAAATATATTTTGTTTGATCTTGCTGTAAAATAAGTTTCTTTTATGATACTACCTAATATTAGGAAATATATAAAAGTATGAATACATATATTTCTTTTCAGAAATTTAAATGTTAATTTTCTGAGTTGAAACTTGTTATTTTCAGTTTGTTACTTGCTCTATTATCAACGCAAGGTGTTAATATTTTTTCCCAATTTTTGCTTCACAATAATGTTTTTAATAATTCACAGTAAGATTAAAATTTTCAATCTAACAAATTCATAATTTAAAATTTATGAATACTTATTTCAAGAAATAAATTTAACTACATTAAAAGCAGTATCAACGAAGCTACCCTTGAAGTATCCTTAAAATTACATAATCAGGAATCTCTTAAGGCATGAAATGATCCTTAAATTTCTGTTCTTATTAAAAAAAAAGCTAAATTTCTCAAGCAAAAAAGGTAAAAAAAAATATAAAAATGGAAAATACTAGATTAAAAAAAATCTTTTTATCGAAAATTAGCTATTTTCGGTGTAATGAATCGGAGACGCATACAGAAGGAAAAAAGTTAAAATAATAAAAGAACGAATAGAGAGAGAAAGATAGAACGATTTGCTTACCTCGTGAAAAGAAGAATTGGAGAACCGAGTTATATATTTAAAACGCTGCTCCGCGTTTTCCTTTAGTTAATTTCTGCCTCTACAATGGACTCTCATTACGAATTTAATCAGTTCACCTGCGAAAAGAGAAAATGAAAAATAAATTCTTTATTGTGGTAATTAAGTAATTTAATGGATTCATAGCTCTATTCGAGCGAAAAAAAAGTAATTTTATTGCACTTTTAGTAAATTTTTTCCCCTTTATTCACAAGGGACAATACCTTCGATTACCTTTTATGTGAAGGTGATTAAGAGTGTATTTCATGTGTGTGATTTGAAATGCGTTGCCATCTATAAGAAAAGAAAAGGTACCCCTCAGATTTTTAATGAATAATTTAAGGCAAACCCATAAACGGTCGAATTAATTTTATTAAATATTATATCAAATTTAATTTGGTGATTTAAGTAGCGAATTTTTTCTAACCAAGAGCAAATATTTATACGTTTTTCTGTAAGAAAGTTGGATGGCTGAAGACCATTTTAATGCTTCATTTGCTCATTTTGGAAAGCGTTTTTTATTATTCAGAATGGTACGCATTTTTCTAAATACTTCATTAGAATATTGTGTTAGGCACCTGTTTTGTTTCTGGAAAGAAAACTACATCTCATAATTTGTTAGAGGAATTACACGAAGCTTAGGTTATTCCAGATAATTATTTTCCTTAATTTATCTGCCATTAAATGGCTAATTTTATCTTTGGCCCGAAATCTTATTTTAATATTCTACGTTAATTAAGGTAAATGTTATCAAATTCAAGTGGATATAATAATACTGAGGTCTTTTGTTTCTTATACTTTAGAGAAGGGGCTCTAAGTAAGTAATCTTAAAAATATTTAATGAGTACAAATAATGCGTAATAGATTTAATGCATATGTTTTTTCATTGCGTTTAATTATGGAATTTATACCACGTAAACAAAGTATGTTCTTTCAAAGAATTTATTATAAGTTTTACTACGTTTAGTAGGAAGTTATTACATTTTTTACCTCTTGAATATAATATTTAAAATATTTTTTAACATTGCATGGGGACAACACTGATTAATAATTACATATTTGGATTTCATAAATGCTAAGATTTCCATTTAAACTGAAACCCTTTTTAAGTTTTTCTCAACAAACTAGTTAGTAGATGTATTATTAATCTTAAATCGTTTGTGCCTAAAATTAATTTTCTGACATCAATTTTTTTTTTCTTTTTTGGAAGAAAGGTGGAATTTAAAGATCATTTAAATCAATTTAAAAGATTTAATTTGTGCAAAACAAATGTAAATCTATAAACATTAAGCTATCAACGCTCATTAGCGACGGAGAGAAAAACACAGTAGAACACTGGTAATTTCACTTCAGTTTGAATGCAGGAAAATAAGCTGTTTGCATAGGTATTTCGATTGGCATGCAAGCAAGCAAGTCATTTTAATATTATAATTCAATCCACCGAATCTTGATATCGAAAATAAATTTTTAATCAATTCTTGGATGGTGTGAACTTGCATTTTAAAGAATGCGTTCTATTGAGCATAATAATAATAAAAAAAAAAAAATAAACGCATCAATTTTTGATAACCTAAAAGCCATCGTTTGTTTAGCGCATTCAAATAAAATAGCCAATCTGAAGAATATATTTCTAGGGGGGGACTAAAACTTTGAATTATGGGTTAATAACACAGAGCATTCTTTAAACCATACTATAAGACAGTTTGAGGAACTGAAAACATATACAGTATTAGTTTCAAAATTATGAGAAGTTCTTGCTTCATAAAAAGCTAATATTTAAGTTTTCAAATAATAGAACTATGAAGAACTATGTTCTATTTTACCTGTTTTAAACCTGTACCTATAAATTTTACCTGTACCTATAAACTATTTTACCTGTTTTTCATCACAAAAGCTGTAGACTATTAAATCTTATATTTAAAGTTTTTTTTCTTCAAAACGGAGCTAATTGGTAGATGGAATAATTGTTATGTCGTTATTTCATCGTAAATTAATGCTACATGGAGATTTGTGTATTTAATAGAGAAATACTTGATCATTTAAGATAAAATGTGGCATTAATTTTACTCCACCGCTTGCATACGAGACTGGCAACAAATATTTTCCTAATATGATTAAAATATCTGTTTTGCTATGGAAAAACATCTCGCGTTCGTAAAACAATAATCTTCCAGGAAAGGTTCTATTCGATGTCTTTAATAACATATAATAACTTAATTAATTAGGTAGTTTGACATTATGCGTACTCAGTTGCGTACATAAGCAGTGTATGTTGACTGTGATAGTTTCCTATTTTTATATAGAACTTCTTTACTTTTTGATTTTCCTTCTACACTCCCATATTTCTTTCTAAATAAAAAAGCTCCTTTGACGGGAGAAAATAAATGTGTCAATAGTTTTAGTAGGAATTTACTTTATTGTATTTCCATTTTTATCGATTTTAAAAGTTGTTTTACTAAAGAAAAAAAGTGATATTCTTTCCGTTCTCATCTCAAACTAGTTTGAAAATATAAATCACATTCACATCTCGGAGGAATAACTGTAACTGTACCCTCTTCCCAAACTTCTGTAAGTAGCCCAAGAAATGCAGCAGCATCTTTAGACGAAAAGCATATTTGATATACCACTAGTTTTTCCCCGGTATAAGTGGCGACACGTACGTGTCCAAATTGGATACTAAACTCAGCGCTAGCAGTCAAAAGAATTCTTGCCCGGGAGCTGAGGAATAATAATACCCTCAACAACAAATAAAAAACTCCGAAGAAACATGATCGAGTATTCTTGTTTCCTGCAACGCCATATCCATGAATAATACTTCCGGAAGAAGTCAGCGCGTACGATCTGCCCAGAAAATAAAGGCAAGCCTCTGCCATAAATCCTCTTGAGTGAAACAGCGTTACGATCGGTCCACCTTCCCCGCGCCAGACCATCCCCCGATCTCTCTCCTGACTTTTCTTTCCTACATACGGGTGTTATCCTCCTCGAAGAAATTCATATGTCGTCACCAGATGCAGAGCAGGAATTCATTTTGTGCTTCGGAAAAGTAGGAGAAAAATACCAAGAAGAGAGGAAGAGAATGAAATGGTTAGACCTTGCATGCCTTCTCTTAAACCATTAACCATTGCATTGCGGATGGCCAAAAAATCGAATTTCCAAAGCTGAAATTGAAAAACACTTTTTCTGTTATGCTGGAAGATTTACGTGAAAGTTTGCTTGTTGTTTTCGGAAACTTCCGTAAAAGAATCAAAATCCAACTGTTTTACCGAATTTTGCGTACGTGCTGATGAATACATTTTCGGTAGAAATTTTTAACATCTATCTTTTGTCACCAGTGCTTCTAATTTCAAAGATTTACCGTAAAAAGGTTTAAAATAATTAATTTTCAAATATTGAATAATACCTCATTTATTTCAAATACCATTTGAGTGGATGTGGTTTTTAATGTAATTTGATTCAGCTAAACCATTTTAGTTTGGTGCTTTTGAATAATTACTGAAACACCATGAACATTCGTGTGCAACAGCAGTAGATACTGAATTATATGTATAGGTACTGCTGCTGAACAATCAACGGAACTATATACAGGTTTGGATAATCTTCTCCCATATGAATAAAATCAGTGAACGTTTATAAGAACTTAACCAGTTGATTTACAAGGCATATATAAGGAATTTACACATTTCACAATGCGTGATTGCTTAGTACAAGTAATAGCTTGACGAGCTAGACTAGAAAAATCACGGTTCAAATCTCAACAAAGGCACAGCTGATTTTTTTAACCTTGTTCGCTCTAAGAAAACTAATAAACTGTATAGTGGATCTTGACCTAAGATATGATGAAAGATAGTCCACTACTACCTGAATCTATTCGACAGGATGGGATCTTGATCTCTTCACCGGTCGTCCTTTTAGTGAAGGAGAATAGATAACACATAGCAAAAGCAATGAGACTAACGGGCGCATTTTCTTGCCTATTTTTAACTTGTCTTGTCGGCCCTAAAATCTCGTACCCTTAAAAGTTTCAACTTAACTCGCCGGATTTAAAATCTATCATTAGCTCAACGAAAAAAAGTGAACATATCCCCGAATTAACACTACACTGAACACTGCCCTACAGTAACCTTTCTACACAGGTTTGGACCTAAGAACTCAGATCAGCGCGTTTGTGGTAAAATAGGCAATTTGAGGCATTAACATACACTGAATGTGCCCTAACGTAGGACATTCATCTCTTAGAATATTGTCTAAGAAATCTTCAGACCTGAGAAAATTGAGTAATGGAAAATGAAAAAGGACTACACAAGCGCTCAATTTCATTGCATATATCATTGCTAATTCAGAAAATCTTTACGTTTTCGCACAACATCATATTTCTAACTTAGGGATATCTGCTGCGAAGTACATAGCATAGTCTTGCATATTGTTTAAACTTCATCGCTCTTCTTATTTATTCATATTTTTAAATTCACAGTATAATCATGTATACTCTGTAAAACGCACTTTGTTTTCATTTTGTCTCTAAGCCATGATGAAATATTATGTAAATATTTCGACAAATTATGTTATTTGAGTATATTCTGTAAAATCTTTCCTTTTGATATTTGATTAAAATATTCTACATTTTCCTGCAGTGCAAATTTTAAGTTTATGATTTACAGTTTACTTTAGCATCACAGGATTCCAATAAATTTACTTCAAGGGCCTTGTACAAAAATGTAATTAACAGGATATCTTTGAATAATATTGTCAATTTAGTCTTCTCTGCCCTTGGCCGTGAGACACAGTTAACAGATTTTCTCCTTCAGAGGTTACACAGCAACAGCTTAAGCAAGGTAGCAGGCCTGAAGCCCCATAGGAATGCAGAGCAAAGAATGGAAGGATATACGAGAAATTATCATATTCCCATAATCTTCTGCCACTACGTCCAGCTAGTATTAAAAAATGCGTAGCACGAATCCATCAAGGGCATAGGTGATTTTTTTCCGATTCCTGATTCGGGGAATGGAGGGAATTTACGTCTATGCATAGCAATAACTATCTAATGCAATGACATTAATGATTTTGTCAAATTAAAATGTAC